GGTGCAGAGACAGCTTTCGACAGAATTCAACACCTATTTATGATAAAAACCCTCCAGAAAGTAGGCATAGAGGGAACTTTCCTCAACATAATCAAGGTCATATAGGACAAACCCACAGCCAACATTGTCCTCAATGGTGAAAAAGTGAAACCATTTCCAGTAAGATCAGGAACAAGACAAGGTTCCCCACTCTCACCAGTATTATTCAACATAGTTTTGGAAGTTTTAGCCACAGCAATCAGAGACGAAAAGGAAATAAAAGGAATCCAAACTGGAAAAGAAGAAGTAAAGCTGTCACTGTTTGCAGATGACATGATACTATACATAGAGAATCCTAAAGATGCTACCAGAAAACTACTAGAGCTAATTAATGAATTTGGTAAAGTAGCAGGATACAAAGTTAATGCACAGAAATCTCTTGCATTCCTATACACTAATGATGAAAAATCTGAAAGTGAAACTAAGAAAACACTCCCATTTACCAGGGCAACAAAAGGAATAAAATATCTAGGAATAAACCTACCTACGGAGACAAAAGACCTGTATGCAGAAAATTATAAGACTCTGATGAAAGAAATTAAAGATGATACAAATAGATGGAGAGATATACTATGTTGTTGGATTGGATGAATCAATGTTTTGAAAACGACTGTTCTACAGAAAGCAATCTACAGATTCAATGCAATGCCTATCAAATAATTACTGGCATTTTTCACAGAACTAGAACAAAAAATTTCACAATTTGTCTGGAAACACAAAAGCCCCCGTATAGTCAAAGCAATCTTGAGAAAGAAAAATGGAGCTGGAGGAATCCAGCTCCCTGACTTCAGACTGTACTACAAAGCTACAGTCATGAAGACATTATGGTACTGGCACAAAAACAGAAAGATAGATCAATGGAACAGGATAGAAAGCTCAGAGATAAACACATGCACATATGGTCACCTTATCTTTGGTAAAGGAGGCAAGAATATACAGTGGAGAAAAGACAGCCTCTTCAATAAGTGGTGCTGGGAAAACTGGACAGCTACATGTAAAAGAATGAAATTAGAACACTTCCTAACACCACACACAAAAATAAACTCAAAATGGATTAAAGACCTATCTGTAAGGCCAAGCACCATCAAACTCTTAGAGGAAAACACACACAGAACACTCTATGACATAAATCTCAGCAAGATCCTTTTTTACCTACCTCCTAGAGAAATGGAAATAAAAACAAAAATAAACAAATGGGACCTAATGAAACTTCACAGCTTTTGCACAGCAAAGGAAACCATAAACAAGACAAAAAGAAAACCCTCAGGATGGGAGAAAATATTTGCAAACGAAGCAACTGACAAAGGATTAATCTCCAAAACATACAAGCAACTCATGCAGCTCAATATCAAAAAACCAAACAACCCAATCCAAAATGGGCAGGAGATCTAAATAGAGATTTTTTCAAAGAAGATATACAGATTGCCAACAAACACCTGAAAGAATGCTCAACATCATTAATCATTAGAGAAATGCAAATCAAAGCTACAATGAGATATCATCTCACACCGGTCAGAATGGCCATCATCAAAACATCTAGAAACAATAAATGCTGGAGAGGGTGTGGAGAAAAGGGAACCCTCTTGCAGTGTTGGTGGGAATGTAAATTGATACAGGCACTGTGGAGAACAGTATGGAGGTTCCTTGAAAAACTAAAAATAGAACTACCATATGACCCAGCAATCCCACTACTGGGCGTATATCCTGAGAAAACCATAATTCAAAAAGAGTCATGTACCAAAATGTTCATTGCAGCTCTATTTACAATAGCCAGGACATGGAAGCAACCTAAGTGTCCATCAACAGATGAATCGATAAAGAAGATTTGGCACATATATACCATGGAATATTACTCAGCCATAAAAAGGAATGAAACTGAGTTATTTGTTGTGAGGTGGATGGACACAGAGACTGTCATACAGAGTGAAGTAAGTCAGGAAGAGAAAAACAAATAGCGTGTGCTAACACATATATATGGAATCTAAAAAAGGAAAGGAATAAAAAGTTCAGAAGAACCTAGGGGCAAGATCGGAATACAGATGCAGACCTACTTGAGAATGGACTTGAGGATATGGGGAGGGGGATGGTAAGCTCGGACAAAGTGAGAGATTGGCATGGACATATATACACTACCAAACGTAAAATTGATAGGTAGAGGGGGGCAGCCACATGGCACAGGGTGAACAGCTCGTTGCTTTGTGACCACCTGGAGGGATGGGATGGGGAGTGTGGGAGGGAGGGAGATGCAAGAGGGCAGAGATATGGGGACATGTGTGTATGTGTAACTGATTGACTTCGTTGTAGAGCAGAAACTGACACACCATTGTAAAGTAGGTATACTCTAATAAAGATGTTAAAATAAAGTTATAATAAATGATGGTCATAGAATGCTGAACATTCATCATTAGTAGGTACTGTACAATATACGCAACTACTGTCTTTCACAAGTGATTTGTATGCTTATCAAGAGTAAGTTGTATTTGTTTCCAGATCTCTAATCAGCTTTACTATAATTAAACAGTTTAAATGTAACATAACAGGATGAAATATAAGTGTAAAGAGAATTGTTCTGTTTACAAAAATTAAGTATTTTGTAGACTCAAAAGTGAATTAGTAAAAAAAAAAACTACTGTCAAATTAGAGGTGCTCAAGATAACTGTAAAAGGCTAGGAGAAATAAAAAAATTAAACAGGATTCTGCACTCATATTATTTAAAAAATATTTTTAAGTGTTGACTTGATGTTTGGGACTTCCCTGGCAGTCCAGTGGTTAAGACTCCTTGCTTCCACTGCAGGCGGTGCAAGTTAGATCCCTGGTCAGTGCAACTAAATCCCACGTGCCGCGTGGGTGTGGCCCCCCCAGCCAAAAAAAGGCGTTCATTAGATTTTAAAGAAACCTCTAAACTGCAAACAGTAGAAGACATATTACAGATATGGATAATTATAAGAAAGATGTTATGGACCTTTAACTAGGAGACTCATACTCATAGAAAAGTCCTACTTCAAAAGACAGAAAAATGAACACACATTATGTTTTAAATTGAAATAAAATATTTAAGATACATATTTATGATTTTAAAAAAACTTCTTGCTTTAACATTTTCAATTAATTGTTAACTACTGGTCCTGATAATATCAAATTAGAAGGCTCCTATTGTATACCTACAAGTTTTTATATAGTTTTGGGCAGGGGAGTCACAGATTCTCTTAAGTCTATCATGGATCTCAGGATAAGAACCCATGTTTTCTCTCTCTCTCTCTCTCTCTCTCTCTCTCTCTATATATATATATATATACACACATGTGTATATATATTACAATTCACCAGATATTACATGTGATGCTGTTATATGACAGTCAAAGAAAAGCAAAGGTCTCAACTCTAGGAATTTAAGTAAAAATCATTATTTAACTACAGAAGAACTTTTAGGAACTCACATTAATATCTTTTACCATAGAATTTTTTATTTGGAGTCCTGCAATTCTTTTGTTTTTATTTTCCTTCTGTTAAAGTAAAATTAAGCTTCATACTTTATTTTTAAAATTAAAAATAAGATGCATACTATACTATGATCCTGTTCTTACGAAACTGTATCTATTCATCCATCTATGTTTCTATGTCTATGTATGCATGAAGAAATGTCTAGAATAGCATTCCATCAAATTTTAACACATATTTTTCTGGATGGAAAAATTTCAGGTGGTTAGTTGGTTTTTTCTTATTCTGTTTTGTAATGCTTAAATTATTTAAGAATTAGTAGGTACCAATTTTATTAAAAAAAAAAACCCACAAAGTCATTATTCTAAACAAACAAAAACAATCAGTGGCAGCATCATGCACTGGGAAGAGAAATGGACAGGGAAGCAAGATGTCTGAAGCTGAATAGAACCCTGGACAAATCAGTCACTGGAACTTCTCTGGGCCACAGTTTCCAAATTGGCAAATGAGAAAATGAGGAAGTTGAACCTAATGAGCTCAAAGGTTTCTTTTAGTACTAACATTATATGAACTTAAGTGGCTAATTCCTATGTAAATTCTTAGAAAATATTTTTAAAAATAAGTTTATCATTTTATCCATCAATTACCTCAAGTTTAACTAGATTTAATGAATAATGCTCTCTTCCTTTGCTGTAAGCTTTTATAGCTTGATCATATTAGAAACTACATAGGGCACTATATCCTTGACATTCTCAAAATACTAAATAGGCAGCTTTATCGACATCAATAATTAAAGAGATGAAGTAATGAGAATACAAGTACAGAAAGTCCTGGTAACACCACACAATACTTCAAATGTGAGGGGGAAATGTTAAATGTTGGTAATTAAAGGAGAAGGAATGGAAGAAAAAAACTATATCCCAAAGCTCTCCTTCTCAATCCAAATATGTATTAAAAAATAAAATAACAATACTGACACAAACTCTTCAAATCATTAGGAGAATCTTTGGATTTGTAGGGTAAACTCACAAGAAAATGACAAAACAACTATAATATGGATTTCAAAATTGAGTGTGCATATGTGTGTGTATTTTTTTTAATCCTCAGAAGCCTCTGTTTTCTATCAGTTGGTTATTTCTTGCATTATTTTAAATTGCTGAACTGACAACTGCCAGCAGGTATAATTTTCTGTTAATTAAAAACTGAATTTTACACAGCTCAACAATGGAGCAGTATTTCTCCCCATAAATTCTAATTCATTGTCTCTGAACTTAACCCTCAAATCAGCATTTACTTCCTTGAATAATATTTAAACAAATTCATCCTATTTATTTGTGATAATCATGTAATCAACCATGGCATTTACCACGCTGAGATGCTGATGTGATTTTGCCAACATAAGAGAATACCAACTATATTTCTCTGAAAATTAAATGTTGCAGGTGCTGTATGACATTTAAACATTGTCACACTGAGAGTTTAAACAAGTACTGAAATGAAGCTATTGCTTAAAAAGAACTTACCTTTGCAATTATTACTGATTGAACAGGGTAGCAAACAGTTGCTCCTAAAGTGGCCAGTCCCAGTGGATAAGCAATTCTCTTAAACCTAGAACCTATGACATTCAAACAAACTATTAAACTCCAAACAGATGCTACCAGAGACTTGATGCTTTTATAACTTTCATGCTTTCTTTGTTCCCCTTTAAGCCATCACCCTATGTTAAATTTTCTTTAGGTAATAATACCAATCAAGATGATAGGTAAAATGTCTTTAAGTATTACAGTTCAATTAATACCCCTTAGTTGTCATGTCTAATTTAAGAAAGGTATTCTCAATCTAACATTGATAATTACCTACACAAAGGGGGTTGATGATTTTCTTCTTTTAAAAAACCAGGTATTTTTTCATGTCCTAAGAAACCCACAGTTGTAACCACATTTTTTTCAAGTATCTAATAAAACATGACAATATAGAGAATTAATCAACTACCATTTTTGTGACACCATGTTAAACTGAAATGGACTCTTCAGAGATCCTGTTTTGATTAAGTCCTTAGATAGCTAAAGGATCCAACTAACTGGTCAGCTAAGGATTTTAAAAGGGACATAATTCCTTCGTGTCACTGATTTTGAATACTAAAGTAATAATTTAATAGAGAAGAAGAAATATCATATGATGCCGCTTATATGCAGAATCTTTAAAAAATGTGACAAATGAGCTTATTTACAAAACAGAAACAGACTCACAGACTTGGAGAACAAACTTATGGTTACCGGGGGGGGATGGGTAGTGGGGAGAGATAGGGAGTTTGGGATTGACTTGTACACATCACTACTATATTTAAAATGGATAACCAACAAGGACTTACTGTATAGCAGAAGGAACTCTGCTCAATATTCTGTAACAACCTAATTGAGAAAAGAAATTGAAAAAGAATAGATACATGTATATGTAAAACTGAATCACTTTGTTGTACACCTGAAACTAACACAACATTGTTAATCAACTGTACTCCAATATAAAATAAAAAGTTAAAAAAATTGCAAGTAACTTGCAATAATTCATTCATTTCCCAAAGTGCCTTAACTAAGCATCTGAGTCATTTTCAAACTTTTTTTTTTAATAGCAAAATCCTTTAAAAAAGTCTTTCAAATAGAATCTCACCTGGAACTTCATATATAAAACTTACAGACTTGAAGCTACTCTGGTTAGCCTGAGGGAGTGAAGCTCATTATCAAGCCCTATCTACACCGCTTTTTCCTTATCCCTATACAACCCCTAAACACTTCCATGGAACCCTAGGTTCTACTGAATAGTGTGAAACCCACCACTCTAAGCCATAGCTTAGTTCTAACAGACTGTTGGTTGAAAACAATATGTATTTTAAATGCTTGTCTGGGTACCCTGGACTGTAAATGTGATCTGGACAATTAGATGATGGGGTTTCTAATTAGGGTAAGTACTTTTATTTTCTGGAACAGCTCTTACAACCCTTAATTTAAAAATGAGACACCCTATCTGGTATATCAGTAAAGACTATGATGAAAAATACCTGGCAATGTTTGCAGGCAACTTTACAGTTTAGGGTAGGTAAAAACAAGATGTATTTCTCTGTCCAGTTTAACTATTAGTAAGGAGGCCTTCTACAGTCATGTCTACAACAGACAGAGCATTGAGGGAGGTGGGTAGTAGGCTGCTTCAACCTTTACTGTAGCTTTCCTTTAAATATTGACAGGATTTTGTGATACTGGGAAAGAGGGTCTAGCTATATTAAAATATGTCTTGCTCACTATTATTCTAGTATCTGTAGTTTGGTTGTTGATTTTACTGACCTAGCATCCTTTAATGTAGGTTTCCTTGACTCAGCCAAATTCCCCTAATTGTGCTGCTCCTAAACTTGGAAGGTGGCAGTTTTTCCTTGATGTGTCATCTTATTTTATTTTTTATTTACTTTTTCTGTAGTTGTTATACTTTTTTGAAACCTTTTAACACATTTTTGACCAGAGATGTATTATGGCCACAGGTGTCAGTTTCTGCAAAAATCCCCCAGTCAATAATGTGTTAAAATTGAAGTATAGTTAATTTACAATGCTGTGTTAGTTTCAGGTGTACAGCAAAGTGATTCAGTTATATATATTTTCTTTCAGATTCTTTTCCATTATAGGTTATTCCAAGATATTGAATATAGTTCTCTGTGTCATATAGTAGGTCCTTATTGTTTATTTTACATATAGTAGTATGTATCTGTTAATCCCAAACTCCTAATTTACCTCCCTACACCCCCATCTCCGCTATCCCCTTTGGTAACTGTAAGTTTGTTTTCTATGTCTGTAAGTCTATTTCTGTTTTGTAAATAAGTTCATTTACATAATTTTTTTTAGATTCCACATATAAGTGATATCACATGATATTTGTCTTTCTCCATCTGACTTACTTCACTTAGTATGATAATCTCTAGGTCCATCCATGTTGCTACAAATGGCATTATTTCATTCTTTTTTATGGCTGAGTAATATTCCATTGCATACATATATATATATACACACACACACACACAATGGAATATTTCTTACACACTCCACATCTTTGTTATTATTTTCAATATTAAAAAGACTTACATTCATCCTCTCTTTACTTGAGGCCAGTTTACAAGAAAATAAATTTCACTTGGGTTCAATAGCCCTACTCCTGTAAGTAGAAAGGACTCTAGACACAAAACACTAACTAGCTATGTAATATGTACTATGAAATCATTGAATGATTTCCTTTCTCTGGACCTCTAGCTGTAGCATTATAGGGTTAGACTAAACCAACATCTTTCATACATTTTTGACCATGGCTCATACTAAAGAACAAATTTTACATTATGACCTCTCTCTCTCTCTGTTTCTGTCTCTGACGTTTCTCTCTTTCACACACACACATACACACTCCACTGAAACAGAAGTTTCACAATATTTATTCATACTGAGTACAAAATACTCTGATATTTGCTATTGTCCTCTATTTTATTTTTTAATAAAATGCTTCCTGAGAGTCACCACATTTATTTCACTACCTACTTATAAACTGAGCTCTGTAATTTGAAAAATACTGGGTTAGATTATTCTAGTTCTGACACTTGGAGTCATTGTGAATGACCTAAGGAACAGTTTCTCTTACAAGTGGATTATGAGTTTCTCACTGAGAAATGAGTAATATGCTTTGGCCGGTTTCATTCAAAATTTAATTCTTTCTCTTATTGTTACATGTGGTGATCCTGATTTTCAATGTCTTTCCTAATGAATAATTTATAACATGTATTCAATTAGAAGTTGCATATAGTGTTAGAATAAAAAATATGATACAAGCTATGATTAATACTAGTTATAGGGAAGATCTATTGGGATAAGATATATGGGATAGAGTTAGAATGCTGGAATGTTCTTATAATTGAGATGTTTTGTATCTGATTAGGTGTACTTGGGTTAAGGCTACTTTAAGGACTAAAGCTGAGCGAACCAACCATAACATATCTGATGTCAGATTCCAGGTTGGTTCAGAGCTGTGACTTGCAACAACATGTAATTTAATTTGCGGACAATGACTGGCACTGGGGACAGATGATGAATGGAAGGTGCCCCAGATGGCTACTGACCAGAGAACTGCACCAGCTTAGTAAGGGCTTAGGTGAGGAGTGGAGGCAGTAATCCTACTGAGAGAGATTTCTATACCCAGAGGTGGAAGATGGGCAAATACAAAATTCACCATGTGCTTATGAATGAGTTATTTAGTGATGTGCAGAAAAGAGTTAACATATGCCCAAGACTGCCATTGTTAGAAAGGCATGCTTACAGGACTGGCCATTGGCTGGCATCTGGGAACCTGACTGGTAAGCAGTTCACTACACTAATAGAAAATGTTCCCTGAATCAGAAGAGTGGTACAGTAAGTCCCCTACATACAAACGAGTTCCATTCCGAGAGCGTGTTTGTAAGTCCAATTTGTTTGTTAAGTCCAACAAAGTTAGTCCTAGGTACCCAACTAACACAATCAGCTATACAGTACTGTACTGTAATAGGTTTAAAATACTTTTCACACAAATAATACATAAAAAACAAACACAAAAAATAAAGAAAACATTTTTAATCTTACAGTACAGTACCTCGAGAAGTACAGCAATACAGTACAACAGCTGGCACACAGGGGCTGGCATCAAGTGAACAAGCAAGGAGAGTCACTGACTGGAGGAGGGAGAGGAAATGGGAGATGTAGAGCTGAAGGATCATCAGCAACAGGAGATAGAGGGCAAGCTGCAATTTCACTCATGCCTGACGTTGATGGCATAGGTTCTGGCTCCTTGCTGGATTCATTTCTATCTACCCTCTAAAAGAAACGATCCAGTGATGTCTGGGTAGTAGCTCTTTTTTTCTCGTCACAGATGACACTGTAGCACTGGATTGCATTCTGAACGGCTACTGCAACCTTTGTGTACCATTCTACGTTAGGGTCCTGTGCCTCAAAAACTAAGAAAATCCCCTTGCCATTTCCTGCGCCGTGTATCTCTTCAGTTCTTCAGTTACTTCTTCCTCTTGTCTCTCTTCATCCTTTCTCTGGGCCTCCAATTCCATCAGGTCTTCATTACTAAGCTCCTCATGTTGCACAGAAAGCAGTTCAATGAAGTCGCCCTCTTGCAGATCTAGCTCCAGCTTCTCGCTGAGGGTCACTAAGTTGCTGAAGACCTCTTTGGACTCCTCATCCACCTTTTCAAATCCACAAAAATTGTGAACAAACTGCAGGCAAAGGTTCTTCCAAACCCCATTCATGGTGATGGCCGTAACCTCACGCCAAGCAAAGTCAATGTTTTTTATGGTCTTGTAGATGTTATAGTCCTTCCAAAATTGTCGCAAGGTTGTTCCTGATTCATCACTTGCCTTTACTTCCTGACGAAAAGTGTGACGTAAATAATATTTCTTGAAAGTGGCTATAACTCCCTGGTCCATAGGTTGGATGAGCGATGTAGTATTCGGTGGTAGATGCTCTACTTTGACATTGGGATGAAAGTCGTCCATGAATGGGGGGTGGCCTGGAGCACTGTCGAGCAGCAAAAGAATGTTGAATGGGACGTCCTTCTCCAAGCAATATTTCCCTACCTCCAGAATAAAGTGGTGGAAAAAGCAGTACTGGAAAATGGCCTCTGTAACCCAGGCTTTGGGGTTACTCTTCCACACAACAGGAAGAGAGCCCTTGGCTGTTTTAAAGGGCTCTTGGGTTCTCTGAATGATAAACTAAGAGAGGCTTCAGCTTCATCTTGCTGGAAGCACTGCCACCAAACAACAGAGTTAGCCTATCCTTTGCTGCTTTATAGCCTGGCATCAACTTTTCTTCCTTGCTGATATAACTTCGGTCTGGCATCCTCTCCCAGTACAGTTCTGTCTCATCCACATTAAAAACCTGCTCGGGTAAATACACGCCTTCATCAATAATTTCCCGAAGCATTTTAGGAAATTCCCAGGCAGCTACCATATCTGCACTCACAGCCTCGCCACTTACTTTTACGTTGTAAATGTTGGCTCTAGCCTTGAACTGATGAAGCCAGCCATGCCTGGCATTAAAAGATGGGCCCTCTGATTCTTTGCTGTATTTGTTCTTCAAGTCTTTATAAAGGCTTTTACCTTCCCCTTGAACCAGCATTAAGCTAAGTGGGACTTAACGCTGATGCTGATCCTGCATCCACACACTGAGAAGTTTCACCATGTCCTCCATCACTTTTCCACGCTTCTTTGATATTATTGTCCACATCACTGGCACAATAGACTTCACATGTTCCACGATCTTGTTCTTGTTCTTTAGAATCTTGCCGATGGTTGAGTGATTCATGTTATAAGAAAGAGTGACGTCTACCATCTTTTCGCCTCGCTCTGCTCTCTCAATTATTTTCACTTTTGTTTCCATCGTTATCACTTGGTGCTTCTTAGCAACGCCAGACACGTGAACTAACTTACATGATTGGACATGCGAATGCCTGTTTGCATCTCTGAAAGTTTGCAACTTGAAGTTTCACATGTAGGGGACTTACTGTACACTGTGCTTAAACTGTTTATATAAATAAATTCAGAAATTAATATAATGGCATTAAAAGAAAGATTATATATTTTTAACCCTACCTTTTCTTGCTGAAATGAAGCCTGCCAATCCTGAAACTGTAATCACTCCAATTTTCGGAAGAAAATCTCGAGGTGGATTCTTCAAATAGACATATGCATCTCAAGAAATCATTTAAAAAATAATATAAATAACTTACTATAATTGACATTCTATATAGGTATGATGAAGAAAAGTTAGAGATTTGCTAAGATAATAGTAGATGGTTTAAACATTCTTCAAAAGAACTACACAAAATAATGATTTGAGCAGCAACTTAAAAAGCCAGTTGTTAATAGTTACTTGTTACAAAATAAAATCTTCCTTCCACAGCTGATTTAATGGTATTTGTTTCCTTAATACAGGCGATTATTACACTTTAATGAAATATAATGCTAGAGTGTACACTAGCATTATATGGATTAAGATGGATTACTATAAAGCAAATTCCTCATTGTGTATGTATTATATTCTTATAATGGAAATGCTTCTGGCCTTATCTGTTCAAACATTGGCAGGATCTAGTAAGAACTGAAATAGATACTTTAGCAGGAAACTTTGAATAACAGTCTAAGGAAACATGCAGCTATGACTCTGCTTGCCACTACTCCCCAGTAAACTCAGAGAAGCCATTGCTCTTGGTTAAAACCAATGAGCAGAATGAGAAGTGAGTCTAGACAAAAAATAGATGGAAAGGGGGCAGAGGTCCAAATTTCTTGGCTTTTTATATATTTAAATGGTTTCTGGTTCCATGCAATCCAAAAAACACACTCTTCTATCATAATTATTTATTTAATTATTAATTATTTATTTAATGGAATTTAATCATATTCTTCAAGGTTGATGAGGAATATAATTTGGACTTAATTGGAATTAATTCCTACACACATTAAATAATGATAATACACACACAGAGGCATTTCAACATCACAGAGGCATTTAAAATTTTAGGTGTCCTTTCTGTCCCCCAATACACATTTATTTTGACAACTGGCTTAGTCTAAAAAATGTTAGGGAGCTATACCTGCTGCCAAACAACATTATCAAACTAACGAGTCAAACACAATTGTTTTCCAACACTAGCTCAAATATTCTAGGGTGACTAATTGATATCGTGTTTCCTAGCAATCAATAGCAAAATACTATGTATTTTAACATCAAATAGTACTTATTTAAACTAATTAATAACAATGGAGATATATGTTTAATTTATGCTGTATGAGTATACAATATAAGTTTCGTAGCTAAAACAGCCAGTTTGAGTCCAGGTGTTGCCACTTACTAGCTATGTGACCTTGGTAATCTACTTAACCCCTCTAAACCCCAGTTTCCTCATCTGTAGAATGGGAGTCATTATAATACCAACATCCAGAAATTTGCTACAAAATAAAATTAGATAAATTATGTAACATGCTCATCATAATGCCTCAACATATAATTGCTAAATAAATAACAGATACTATTGCTTTGTTATTATTATTATAAACTGCTATATAGAGTATCTTCTGAGTTGGTAAAACATGATAATGGATAACATACCAAGTTTATTTTTCTCACATTTAAACCTTGCAAGTTAAAAAGACAATAGAACATTTCTAATTATAGACAGTTCACTCAACCTACCTTTTCCAAATTGTACTGTATCCATTATCCCATATTTCATGAAGACATAAACACCCTAAGTAAAAAGGGGGAAAAAAGGACATCTGCATTTTTGAAGATGTTGACAATTAGGTCAAATAGCCCACATCTTTGAGATTATATGAAATTGCACCAAAATCTAAATCTAGTTTTCCTGTTTATTCTCTATGTGGACACTTGTTGAACTTAGCTTCTCTTCACTTCTTGCTTTTCATTCTATTTAACATGGATAATACTTGTTTGCTATATTCCTCATATAAATGGGTAAAGTAATGCCAGTAAAATAATCAGAGCAGCTCACAGAAAAGTTATTACAGAAGTACAAAGATTTATCATCTTATTTTATGATAGCGTAGAAAAATGAATGGAATTTTTTAGAAGCATGAAGAGAGGTATATTTCAGCTTAGAAGCAACATCTGATTAATAAAGATGAGGCAGTAACAACATGATTTGTGGAGAAAACAACAAAAAGCCTAAAGAAAAGTGCTTCATCTTCTCCCCTTTCCTTAGTGTTCATTAGAATGAGAAAAATAAATCTAAATAAGACATTTATCTTAGAATAGAAATCATCCTACACAGACTAGTGTCCATCTTGTTTTCAACAGGAACATAAATTACCTGCAAATCAAGATTATATTAGCCCACTGAAGGGATTAAAGCTTTAAATCAAAGATTCTTTTTACCTGTTTCTAACTACTTATTTTAATGCAAGAAATATTGTTACACACATTTTTTGATATGTACTATCTCAAGTACATCAGAAGAAAAATGAAGGCATGGAATAATTTACCCATAGTAATTGCCCATAGTCATGCTGTACTCTATTGATAAAACTAGAAAACACAGTCTAAATATGTGGTCTCCATCTCTGAACTAGTTGCTATGAAACCATGGGATAAAAACAAAAAAAGAGATTTTCAAAGCAAAGACAATAGATATTATTATATTAGATAGGAAAGAATTAAATTATTTCTATTGATATATCTTGGTATTAGTAACTTTGTCTCAGACAGATACTTTCATGATGATCAGATGCAGAAGTTCATCCTGTTCATCATGGTTTAAAGCTGTACAAACCAACACAGACCCTAACTGCCACTGAGCTACTTCTCCTTGGGGACTGTCTCTTGAGAAAATTTCACCTCAAAATTATAATGCTTACTGATCAGTTGATTGGGAATAATGTAACTGTTGAGGAAGAAAACTTTGGGGAAATTTTCCTTAGCTGTGTTTAGGAATTCACTTTTACCACTGGAGGTCGCTGCTACCTAAATTTCGAAACACTAAGGAGTAGGAATAGAAATTGAATTTGCCCTGCGATTCTAAGTTTAATGCAGAATGTAATTTGAGCCGGAGGTAATTTTTAAAGAATAGATTACATTTTAAGGAGAACATTAGAGAGGAAATGTTTACATTGAAGATGAAATGCATTTGAAAGTGCCCTTCTTCAATCTATTCATTTCAGCATATTACCAGAGTAAAAAGCTCTTTTAGTCTTAAACTGGGTGATAGTAACAATAGCAATTTAAAGATCTCACAGGAACAATTAACCTCACTGAAAACAACTTTGAGAACACTAAGAAAATTAGGTGTCAAGAGACTTCAGTCTGAATCATCCAGCTGTTGGCATACAGCCTCAGGGGCATGACTCAGACCCTAATTAGTTAAGCTATTTCCTGCTGAGACCAACCTATTAATAGTGTGTGGTACAACTAGTCAAACTATTAAAAGTGTATTATTAGAATTATAAAAGTCTATTAGATTGTTTGACAGGCACAAATTTAAAAAAAAATAACACCATGTATTCATCAGACGTTTTAAATATCTGAAATGACCAGAGTTCACAGATTTGATATTTCATAAGACCATTAGAATTTTCTTTTTAAAAAGAATGGATTAGAAACAAGAAAAAGCACAAGGGTTCACAATTGGATAGGTTAGACTTGAGGAAAAGTTTTGTGGTTATTAGGTCAGAATGATGAAAACAATGGTACCACCATTATCATTATGACACTGACACTGCAGATGTTGATGTTAGCACACATCTATGTTGATGCGATGATTATGAAGCAGCAGTATTGTACTAGCTTACTCCACCCCTCTGCTGCTGGATAATGCTGACTGAAGGCTAAGTATTAAAATAAGGTGAATTCTATTTTGCCCAATAGCTGACTATAGTCAAAACGGTCTTATGAACTAAACCTAACAAGTGAATATTTTACTCAGTCAAATAACTAACAATGCAGAAGTAATCTCAGAACTTCATATAAAAGGTCAAGCAATGTTTTGTACATGCCACGTGACATAAATGCTTGCTGAACTACTTTAATCTATGCAGTAGTGGTAGAGTAGATTAAATATGGCCACAAATTCTTTGCTGCTACTCATATTGAGAGATGGTATCTAATTCCCCTCCCATAAAAACTGGGTTGGCCTTAATGACTTCATTTAACAACAGAATGCTGTAGAAGTAACCTTCCTGGGCACCTGAAGACAGGTAAGAAGCTTGGCAAATTCTGACTAAGGCCTCTTGCAACATATTCTCTAGGAGCCCTGAACTGTCCATGTAAGTTATCTGACTACCTGAGGCCAGGTGTGGATGCTTCAGTCAACATTCCCAGCTGAGCCCAGCCTTCTAGCCATCTGTGACAAGGTGCCAGCGAAGATAATGAAGCTGTCTTGGACCCTCTAAATCAGCCCATTCACCTGATGAATACCACTGGGTGGCCTCTGTCAACACCACATTCAACAGAAGAATCAGCTGTCTGAAGTCTGATTAAATTTCTGACTCACAAAATCATGAGATAGAACAGTTGCTGTTTTAAACCACTAAGTTTTGGGGTAGTTTGTTACACATCAGTGAATAACTGGAACAACTGTTATGTAATAAAATGAGAACCCTCTGATATGAAACCACTATCAGAATTCACTTACCTTGCACCAGCCAATATAACGACCAGTTGTAGTGCGAATGGACGCAAAGCCCATTTGTAAATGACCAGGCTGCTCATCAACATATTTAGACTGGAGAGGTGGTGCAGTATATATGGGGAGCTAGAAGGAAAAAAATTCATGTCAAAAATATAAAATAGCTGAACTTCCTTTTCCAGCAGTATGGCAGAATAAGAATCCTCATCAACATTCCTACTGAAAACAACTAAAAATGCTGATAAAATGTATTTTAAGCCAGCTTTTACCTTGATGTCATTTGCTGTAAAACAGATGGTTCATGGAGTATGGGATCAGGAAACAAAACCCAGAATGAGCTTGAGGTGGGCAATCTTACTGGAGAGCCTATAAAATCGGCATCTCAAGGTGCTGCATGCTCAATTTAAGGTTGAACTAGAAATAAACAGTTCACTCCAAGGAACTGTTAGGAAAACTGATTGTCTCAAAGATTGGGCACGGAGTAGAGAGGAAAGAAATATTTCCTAAGAATTGGCAATCACAAGTGAGAACTCATAATGTGCAGCATAAAACTATCTTGATAATCTAAGAAATCTCAAATTAAGTATACATTTAAGGTGCTCCCAGGCTGGTATCCCCCACAGATGCTTGGCAGAAGCAAATGAACATCTCCTCTCTGAAGGAAGCTACCCAGACTTCAAAGATTTACAACAGATAAAGGCCCAAGAAATATGAGACCACAATTTTGAAAAATTAAAAAACACAAAGAAGCAAAATCAGAAAACACAAGGAAGCATCTGGACAAGAGCTAGCAGAAACAACAAAGAGCAGAATCAGAGCCACAAAAAATGTATATACTAGAACATATGGTATCAAATACATATATTTTTTATTTTTAGAGAAATAAAAGAGGAAATTTCAGTTAAGAGCAAGAGACTACAAAAATTACCAAAGCTAATGAAAATAAAGAGAAAGAGAACTTCTAGAACTGGAAATTAAAACAAATAAAGAACTCAATTGATAAGTTTTAATAGATTGGATACAGTTTATAGTTGCTGAGAGATTTTGTGAATTAGTAGACCTAAAGAAATTTTTATGCAAAGAAATGAAAAATAAGTATGAAAGAGATACGTATGATAGAGTGAGAAATATTAATATATGCCTAATCAGAGTTCCAGAGAAAAGGAGAAAGATGGGGCAGAAGTAATATTTGAAGAGAATAGTCAAGATTTTTCCAGAACTTATGAACACTTGACAGGTTCAGAAAACTAACATATCCCAAACAGGATAAATAAAAAGTACTCCACAATTAGACAAGTCATAGTAAAACTCTATAACACCAAGGATAAAGAGGGGATATTAAAAAAAAAAAAGCCAGAGAGAAAAGACAGATTACTTTCAAAGGAATAAAAATTAGATAAACTGTGACTTCTCAAAAACAACACTGGAAGGCACAATATAATATCTTCAATGCACTAAAAAAAAAGTAACTTAACTGAGAATTATATACTCAGTAGAATATCTTTTTTTCAAAAATGAGGGGAGAAGGACACAGACAGACAAAACCCAAGATAATGTGTAACCAAATGACCCTCAGTGGGAAATTTTAAAACATGTACTTAATGCAGAAGAAAAATATTCCCATTGAGAAGGTCTGTGATGGAAGAAGGAATGATTAGCAAAGAAAGTGGTAAATATGTGGGTAAAACTAAAACAATGAATATATAAAATAATAATTTTTAGGCATGTGTTTAAAAAATAGAACTACATCCCTGAGTATCAATATAGTATAAGTTAGGAAGGGATGTCAGAAATTAAAATGTTCTCGGTTCTTAATATGGTTTGGACAGAGGGTAAATATACTGATGAGACTTGAAATGAATGCAAGTTAAAATTTCTAGGGTGACCAATAAAAGAAAATAAAAAGAAGGCAGAATTAACAAACTATGTTATAGAAAAAAAAAGAGACAGAAAATAAAGCAAAGAAAGGAAATAAAAGAACAGAAGAGGTAAGAAAAACAAAAACCACAAAAACTTGGTAGAAATGATTCCAAAGATATTAAAAATTATAATAGATGCAAACGGATAAAATGATCTAGTTGAAAGACAAAGATGAAGAGATTGCATTTACAAAATACAGCCAACATTTTGTTTATGAGACATTGTTAAAACAATTATTTAGAAAGGTTAGGGAAAAAAAGGAATAAAAAATACATATTGGGCAAATAGCCACCAAAAGAAAGCTACTATAACCTATATTAATATTAGACAAAACAGACTTTGAGACAAAAATCATTACTAGAGATCAAGGACCTATATTAAGACAAAAAGTTTAAATAATGAGAGAGTACATTCTTTTTTTTTTTTTTGTGAGAGAGTACATTCTTAAACTTGTATGCATCTATTAATATATTCTCAAAATACATGAAACAAGGGGAAATAGACAAATTTGCCATCATAGAGGAAGTTTTACTTATTCTCCATGATGGCTGATCAAAAACCAGATTAAAAATAAAAACTAACAGTAACGAGCAGAAGTGGGCAAACTATAGCCCATGGACTAGTCACCAGTTTATGTAAATCAAGTTTTATAGGGTCACCAGCTATACTCATTCATTAACGTAATGTCTACAGCTGCTTTTGTGCTACAACAGCAGTTGAGACGAAGTGACAGAGTTAGATATGTTTAAAGTATTTACTATAGGGCTTTTTAAGAAAAAACTCTATTGACTCCTGGTACAGAAAAATATAATCAATAAGCTTGATCTCACGGGCATATATAGCACAGTGCATTGAACAACTGCAAACTACATAATATTTTCAAGCACAAATGGAAATGTATAAAAAACTGACTGCACCCTGGACCATTTCAGGAATTGAAAGTCTTAGGAAATTTCAAAGGACTAATATACAGAATACGTTCTCTTAACACAAAACTCCTACAGCTAAGTCATACTTACTAGTAACAGAATGAGTGTTTTCTTCTTTACATCAGAAACATACAAAATGCCACTCTCACCACTTCTGTTCAACATTTTACTGGACGTTCTAGCCAGTGCATTCAGAAAAGAAAAAGAAATAGAAGACACTAAGTTGGAAAGGAATAAATAAAACTATCTCAAATCGGGAAGATGGCAGAAGAGTAAGACATGGAGATCACCTTCATCCCCCCAGATACACCAGAAATACATCTACACGTGGAACAACTCCTACAGAACACCTACTGAACGCTGGCAGAAGACCTCAGACCTCCCAAAAGGCAAGAAACTCCCCACGTACCTGGGTAGGGCAAAAGAAAAAAGAATAAACAGAGACAAAAGAATAGGGACGGGACCTGCACCAGAGGGAGGGAGTAGTGAAGGAGGAAAAGTTTCCACACACTAGGAAGCCCCTTCATGGGCGGAGACTGCAGGTGGCGGAGGGGGAAAGCTTCCGGGCCGCGGAGGAGAGCACAGCAACAGGGGAGTGGAGGGCAAAGTGGAGAGATTCCCGCAGAGAGGATCAGTGCCGACCGGCACTCAACAGCCTGAGAGGCTTGTCTGCTCAGGGCGGGCGGGGCTCGGAGCTCAGCCTTGGGCTTCGGTCGCAACGCAGGGAGAGGACTGGGGTTGGCGGCGTGAACACAGCCTGCAGGGGGTTAGTGCACCACAGCGAGCAGGGAGGGAGTCCGGGGAAATGTGTGGACCTGCCGAAGAGGCAAGAGACTTTTTCTTCCCTCTTTGTTTCCTGGTGCGCAAGGAGAGGGGATTAAGACCACTGCTTAAAGGAGCTCCAGAGAAGGGCCCAAGCCGCAGCTAACAGTGAGGACCCCAGAGACGGGCATGAGACGCTAAGGCTGCTGCTTCCGCCACCAAGGCGGCTGTGTGCGAGCACAGGTCACTCTCCACACCTCCCTTCCGGGGAGCCTGTGCAGCCCGCCACTGCCAGGGATCCAGGGACAACTTGCCCGGGAGAATGCACAGCGCGCCTCATGCTGGTGCAATGTCACGCTGGCCTCTGCTGACGCAGGCTTGCCAAGCATCCATACCGCTCCCAACCCCAGGCCTGAGTGAGCCAGAGCCCCCGAATCAGCGGCTCCTTTAACCCCGTCCAGTCTGAGCGAAGAACAGACGCCCTCTGGCGACCTACACTCAGAGGCGGGGCCAAATCCAAAGCTGAAACCCAGGAGCTGTGAGAACAAAGAAGAGAAAGGCAAATCTCTCGCAGCAGCCTCGGGAACAGCGGATTAAATCTCCACAATCAACTTGATGTACCCTGCATCTGTAGAATACCTGAATAGACAACTAATCATCCCAAACTGAGGAGGTGTACTTTGAGAGCAAGATCTATGATTTTTTCCCCTTTTCCTCTTTTTGTGAGTGTGTATGTGTATGCTTCTGTGTGAGATTGTTTCTGTATAGCTTTGCTTTCACCATTTGTCCTAGGGTACTATCCGACCATTTTTTTCTTTTTTTTTTTCAAAAAATTTTTCTCTTAATAATTATTTCTTATTTTAATAAATTATTTTATTTTATCTTATTTTATCCACTTTCTTTCCTTCTTTACTTCCTTCCTCCCTCCCTCCCTTCCTCTCCGTGTCTCTCTCTCTCTCTCTCTCTCTTTCTTTCCTTCTTTCTACTTTTTCTCCCTTTTATTCTGAGCCATGTGGATGAAAGGCTCTTGGTGCTGCAGCCAGGAGTCAGTGCTGTGCCTCTGAGGTGGGAGACACAACTTCAGGACACTGGTCCACAAGAGACGTCCCAGCTCCATATAATATCACACGGTGAAAATCTCCGAGATCTCCATCTCAAAACCAGCACCCAGCTTCACTCAACAACCAGCAAGCTACAGTGCTGTACACCCTATGCCAAACAAGTAGCAAGACAGGAACACAACACCACCCATTAGCAGAGAGGCTGCCTAAAATCATAATAAGTCCACAGACACCCCAAAACACACGACCAGACGTGGACCTGCCCAACAGAAAGACAAGATCCAGCCTCATCAACCAGAACACAGGCACTAGTCCCCTCCACCAGGAAACCTACACAACCCACTGAACCAACTTTAGCCACTGGGGGTAGACACCGAAAACAACGGGAACTATGAACCTGCAGCCTGCAAAAAGGAGACCCCGAATACAGTTTGATAACCAAAATGAGAAGACA